CAAGAGGGAAGGTCCCAAGATAGTCCCCAACCAAGGAAACCCCATACCGCACAACTCCCCCCTCTATAGGCACCCCAACTTTGACATTTGTCACTTTCCCAACCTCCACAATCCACCTCACCCAAGTTGGCCACACTTGCCAACCCAACTTTAATTTCTCCCAACAACTTGACAGCATCTACAGTGATGGGGACGGATTTCCCAACCCCCAAAAGTCTGTACCCCATAGTGAGTCACTTCTCAACTTCCCAAAGTCGTCGCACCCCAATCAAAACTTTGAACGATTATAACTCTGTCGTTCTTGCTACGGTCGCAACAATTCTTGGTTCGTCAGAAAGCTCTTGAGTAGAGAAGTCACTTCCGATATCTGCTCAAGCCAAATAACATTCACACACAATTAAAGAATCCAAACCACACCAAACACAAATTCTTGCACACGCTCACACCACGCATGCAACGCACGAACATATGATGGGAGGCAGACAGACGTGAATGCAACATCACATAACAAGCCCGCGTCCGTGGACAAGGCTTCGAGCGCTACTTTCTGCTGGTTGTTGACGACTGCTCGCGTTACACCACGGCCTTCCCCTTGCGCAGCAAAGGGGAGGTCCCTGATGTTATGATCCCTTGGATGCGCGCTGTTCGTCTCCAGCTCCGTAGCGTCGGTGAAGCACGACAGACCTTTCGGTCTTGCGTCTGCACTCTGACAGAGGTGGTGAGTTTTTCTCTGACCTCTTGCGGGACTTTGTTGTGGGGAGGGCATTCGCCAGTCGTTCACGCTTCCGGCCTCTCCTCAGTAGGATTGGGTGGCTGAGCGCCGCACTGACTTAGTCATGGAGGTCGCTCGTACCCCCATGATCCATGCGGCTGCCCCCCATTTTCTGTGGCCATTTGCGGTCCAATACGCTGCACATCAGCTCAACCTCTGGCCCCGTGTCTCCTTGCCGGAGACCTCGCCGACACTGTGCTGGACGGAAAAGGTTGGCGATGCGTCGGTGTTCTGGCTTTGGGGATGTCATGCCTTTGTCCGCGATGCCACCGTGGACAAGCTCTCCTCCTGCGCCATTCCCTGTGTCTTTCTTGTTGTTCAGGATCCGTCACTTTGAGAGCTTACGACGAACTTATTTCTCAATTAAACGCAAATTCGCTCGGTAGGAAGTTGCGCTTTAGGCTTAGCTACCATCTCCAAGTTGAATCAGTCGTTAAGATGGTCTATAGAGTGAGAACGTTTCAGAAACGTCCAGCAGCCGCATGACTAGGATGGTGGAGGAAGTACAAGCATTAAGGCATAGAGAGTTGGAGTTGGGAACCTCCAAGAGAACCATGAGAGGAAAGGGGTTTTCCAAGAGCTAGGGAAGGATGGTAGGAAAATTCCTAGCAGCAAGGATGGAACCCTCATCATAAGGCCCTTGAGGTGTCACATGCAAAATCCAATCTAGTTGGATTTTGCCTAGGTGTTGCAACATTTGCAACCCATGCTAGAAACTTCTAGCCACCCCAATCCATAAGTCAAAGTTGCCTTCCCTAACCACCCAACCAAAGATCCACCCAAATTAGATATAACCCCTAACCACACACACTTACACACATGCAAACTCTCATGCACATAATCACACATGCACTCATGACATTGCTGCCCACACTAGTGCAATGCCATGCCACACATCTTAGCACACTTCCAATGTGCGCTCTCGGGAAGTCTCTTGGTGAGAAAATCTGCCGCTTGCTCGCTAGCCTCCACATGGTGAAGCTCAACAATCCCCTCCTTCACCATCTGCCTCACCCAGTGCCACTTGATCTTTATGTGCTTGTTCAGCCCATTCAGGATAGGATTATTGGCCATGCCAATAACAGCCTCGCTGTCGGAGAAAAGTGGTCTAGGTCCCTGCTGTTCAGCTCCCATGTCCTCCAGCAGCTTCCTCAGGAGTACGATCTCCTTGATGGCATGGTACATTGCCATGTACTCTGCCTCTCCGGAAGACTGAGCAATCTCACTCTGCTTCTTGGACCTCCAGCTCACTGGTCCACCTCCGACCATACACACAAGGCCGCCAACTGATGACTAATCCTCCTTCTCTCAGGCCCACGTAGCGTCGGTGAAGCACGACAGCTTCAAGGTTTCAGGCATGACCCCATCTGCTTCAAGCTATTTCAGCTGGCCGCTAGCTGAAAACTGAACACCAGCAGATGCCGATGATCCGAGGTAGTGCACCAAGCGTCTTGCCACCTCCAGCTGCTCCTCAGTGGGCCGCTGCACAACTCTGGCCAGCTGCCCTACTCCGAATGAAGCATCAGATCCCGTATGCACTGCAGCATACATCACACTCCCAATGAGTGACTGGTACTCATTCTGCTGCTCATCCTCAAGTACATCATCCTCCCCTGCTGCCTTCTTCAGTTTGAAGCCCGCAAGGAACGGTGTCATCACAGTGCGACCCCCAGTCACACCATAGCACTCCATGACACCAGAGATGTAGTGTGACTGATGCACCTTCAGCCACCTCCTCTCAACATCCCTCTCAATCTGCAGCCCCAAGTAGTATTGGACATCCCCCAGCATCTTGCACTTGAAGTTGTCCATCAGCAGCTTCTGTGTCCTCTCAATCTGCTCCATGGAAGGTGAGAACAGAAGTATGTCGTCGACATATACCAGCAGCAAGAGCAGCTGCTCCCCCTCTCCAAGCAGAAACAAGCTGTGATCCGCCTGGGACGTCTTGAAGCCTCCACCCAGCAGCACCTCCTCCAGCTTCTCGTACCAACACCTGGGCGCTTGCTTAAGGCTATAGATGGCCTTCTTAAGCTTGCACACCCGGCTGGTCCCATCCTCATAGCCGTCGGGCTGCGCCATGTAGATATCCTCCAGCAGCACTCCATTGAGGAACGTAGTGGTGATATCCATCTGCTTCATGTGCCATCCCTTCACAGCTGCGCCAGCCATCAAAGTCCTAAGTGTGCTTAGCAATGGGAGCAAAGATCTCCCCAAAGTCAATCTTCTCTTTTTGCTGGAACCCCTTGGCGACCAAACGGCTCTTGAACCGCTCCAACGCACCATCAGCACCACTCTTCACCTTGAAGACCCACTTGCTGCTGATTGGGCGTCGCCCCTCGGGTAACTCAACAAGATCCCAAGTCCCATTCTCAATGAGACTATTGAACTCCGCATCCATGGCAGCCTTCCACTCCTCCTTCTGGGGTCCACCGAGTGCCTCCTCCACTTTGGCTGGTTCTCCAGGCAAGGGTGTGAAGAAACAGAACGCCATCTCTTCATCCGCCTGAACCGCCATCGCACCTTGCTTGGGTCCTCCCAAACGGCTATACTTCAGCCTTGAGGGTGCTACTGCCACTCTCTTCTCGCAGGTTGCAGTCTGCTGCCCATGTGGTGAAGCTCCTCTTTGCACACTCTTGTTGGTGGCCTTGGCAGTTGCAGCAGGCTTGGGCTGAGATGGTGAGTCGACACGTGCCGACTCATCCTCCAACCCCTCCTCTGCAGCAGGACCAGAAACTTGCTGCTCTCCACCGCCACTGTGGTCACTAATCAGCTCTGACCCATGGAGTTCATTAAGGTGCAGCTGAACCTCCTCCACTGTAGACCGCTCAATCTCCCGCAGACGCAAGCCAATCTGCACCTACTGCTGCTGCTGCCAGTCCTTGTACATGACGTCCTCCACAAACTTGACGTCACGGCTGACCAGCATCTTCTTGCTCTTGGGGTCCCACATCAGCCACCCCTTCGAGGCAGGAGCCATCCCCAGATGGACAGCCCACACAGCAGCAACTTCCAGCTTGTGCCTTTGCTCCTTAGGCACCATCACAAGCCCCATGCAGCCCCACACCCACAGCATGTCAATGGATGGCTTCTTCCTAAGCCAACGCTCGTACGTCACCCACTGCTTGTCGCCAACATGCGTCAAGACCCTGTTCTTGACCGTGATGACATGGCGAACGGCGTCAGGCCAGAACTTGTAGGGCATCCCGGCAGCCCCCAGCAGAGTCTTTGCCGCCTTGCCAATAGTCCGGTTGGCGCGCTCAGCAATGCCGTTCTGCTGCAGTGTTCCAGGGCAGGTCAGCTGGTGCCGTATGCCATTCCTCTTGAGAAACTTGGTGAATTCCGCTCCAAGGAACTCTCCACCACGGTCGCTCCTCAGCACCTTCACCAGCCGCATCGCTTGCCGCTCAACCATCGGCAATCAATCCTCCTTGATCGCCGCTGCAGTATAGCTCTTCGCGGACAAGGGACGTGGCCACGTGAAATGGCTCCATTCCTCCACCATGGTGAGGAAGTACAGCACTCCCCCAGTCCCCTCAGTCCTCATAGGACCCACCAGGTCCATGTGCACCGCCTCCAATGGCGCCTTCGCCGATGCCTCCACACGTGAAAACGGGAACCGCGCAAACTTTTTCGCATGCATGCCAGCTGCCATAGTGAGTGCCATCTCCTTGCAGTTGCAGCCCATGCACGCACTTCTCCTTATGCATCACCTCCACTGTTAAAACAGCCACGTGTACGAGCCGCCGATGCCAAGTCTCCCAATCCGCTTGGCCCGAGGTAGCCGACGCCTTCACCGCCGCACTTCCTCCAATCAGCTCCTCTCCTTGCACACCTTGCTGCTCCTCCTCGGTGACGCTCTCCTCCATAGATGCCGCCACTGCCGCCTTGCCCGATTTCCGCCAAGGGAGGACCGGGATCTGCCACATCCGCTTGTGGACATCTCCCTTCCACTGCAGGTCCCAAATGAGGCGCTCATCGTTGTAAGCACAATAGCGCTCCGAGCCGATCGTCTCGGTGTTCATACCCGCATCTCCCAACCGGCCGGTACAAATCAGGTTCGCGCACAAGTCCAGCACCCACAGCACGTTTTTCAGCCCCAAGAGCTCTCCATCCGCTCCCATGAACTTGGCGCATCCCATGCCCATGACCTTGGCCTTGGCACCCATCGCGGATGTGACTGTAGAGATGGGTGCGGGCTGAATCTCATCGAGTAGGTCCGAACGAGGAGTCATGTGCCAAGAGCTCCCGGAATCAATCACCCAATGGGTGAGGGGGTGTAGGAGAACCTTGGCAGCCATAGCAAGGTCGGTTGCACCTTCGTTCACGAAGAAGAACCCGGCCTTCCGCTCCTCAGATTTGCCGCTTTTCTCCTCCTCCTTATCCTCGCCATTAGCTCCCATGACTCCCCCACTCCTCATGCCACCACGCTGGTTGCTTGATGAAGGCGGGGTCCAATCCTTGGGTCGTTGGTAGCACTTTTGCCAACGATGTCCGCGCTTCTTGCAGTAGAAGCACACCTCCCCTTGACCCCCGCCGCCATCCTCCTTAGGGTTGTCCTTGTTTTTGCCCTTCCACTTCTTCTTGAAGCCACTCTTTCCACCTCCAACTCCATAATCAGCCCCTTCCTCCCAGCGCTCCACACTCTGCCGCAGCAAGTCCTCCTCTAGGATGCGCGCGCGAATGTAATCCACGCTCCATTGGGGTTGTTGGGAGTTGAGGTTGATGGCAAGGGCAGACCACAACTCCGGCAGCCGTATCACAATCTCCACGCATTGCACGAGCTCCGGGTACACCACACCGCCCCTTTGGAGCTTCGTGAAGATGTACCGCATCTCATCCAACACCGGTTGCATCGGCTCTCCATCAACAAACTTGATGTCGCGCAGCCGCCGCGCGAGTAACATGATGCCGGTAGCATGTGTCGGTGAGTGCACATCTAGAAGCTTCCTCCAAGCCTTGGGGCCACACTCTGGATCACACAAGTGGTCCTTGATGTGGTCAAGTTGTCGTCCGCCAACTGCTTGCACCATGAGCATGTACGGGTCGAATGACCGCTTTATCCATGCTCCATTCAGCTCCGCGGCCTCTGGCATCTTCTCCTTCCCCTTCACCAGATCCAATAGCTTGTATTGGGTATACATCAGCCTTATGCGGAAGCTCCAGTGCTCGTAGTCCTCCCCCATGAATTTCTCAATAGAGAAAGCCTTCACAAGATCCATGGTTTTAGGAGATGGTATAGAAGTTGAGGGTAGCGTAGGGTTGGCTGGTTGGTGAGTCCCCACTCCTCCACCAGCAACTCCCCCTTGCTCTCCAGCCTCTCTACTTCTATCCATCTCGCCACTAGCACCTCCGGAGTTCGTACCAGCCATTTTGAGGCCTTATGAACGGTGGAAACTTGAGAAATCGTTTGGAGAGAATTCTGCCAGGAATTTTGATTCTACGAAAATCGCCGTCGCGGACTGGATACTTCGAACTAGAACGCGGTTTGACCACCAATCAAAATTTCGCAAGCAGAGCTACTAGAAAATGGTCTAGCTTGTCAACATTGGTTGAGAATTCACGATGATTCTTCGTCTCAAAGTCAACTACTCGCTCTGATACCACTTGTTGTTCAGGATCCGTCAATTTGAGAGCTTACGACGAACTCATTTCTCAATTAAACGCAAATCCGCTTGGTAGGAGGTTGCGCTTTAGGCTTAGCTACCATCTCCAAGTTGAATCAGTCGTTAAGATGGTCTATAGAGAGAACGTTTTAGAAGCGTCCAGCAGCCGCATGACTAGGATGGTGGAGGAAGTACAAGCATTAAGGCATAGAGAGTTGGAGTTGGGAACCTCCAAAAAAACCATGAGAGGGAAGGGGTTCTCCAAGAGCTAGGGAAGGATAGTAGGATCCTTCCTAGCAGCAAGGATGGAACCCTCATCATAAGGTCCTTGAGGTCTCACATGCAAAATCCAATCTAGTTGGATTTTGCCTAGGTGTTGCAACATTTGCAACCCATACTAGAAACTTCTAGCCACCCCAATCCATAAGTCAAAGTTGCCTTCCCTAACCACCCAACCAAAGATCCCTTTATAGTCATGACCAAGTAATCACCCAAATTAGATATAACCCCAAAAGGTAATAAGAAATCTAAGTCTTGGAAATCTTGTAACTTGGGCGATCTTGGTCGGAATAAGGTGATCTTGGTATCGTTGGAAAGCTTTGGATTTCTCCTAGATGATCAAGCATTTGAACTTGGAGAAAAACACAGAGATGAAAATATCCAACAGCCATGCACAATGACATTTTCTCATGCAAACAATGCACGCATGAATAGCACGAGCACTCGGGAGGACGTTAGGATGACATGCACTCAGAATGACGTGCATCCAACATTTCTTGGCTTTCCCCCTGACACGCCTAGTTGGCAGTTTTACCACCCCACCTCGTGTCGTTTCCTCCCCTTTCAGGACGTCACGTTTGACGAGTCGGTTCCCTTTTCCCGTCTCTTCCCCTACCACACTGCCCTCTCCACCCCCCGCCGCTCTTCTTCGCACCAGGTCCTCCTCCGGTAGACCCCCTCTCCCCTCAGGGTCCTGCTCCCTCACCCGTGTCCCAGGTAGACCCTGTCAAGCCAGTTGAGCTAGCGGTCGACTCTGGTGCTACTAGGGGTGCTGAGCTTGCGGGTGCGGGACCTGGGGGTGCTGAGCCTGAGCGTGCGGAGCCTGGGGGTGCTGAGCCTGGGTGTGCTAAGCCTGGGGTTGCTGAGTCTGAGGGAGAGGAGCTTGGGGGTGCTTAGCCTGAGCGTGCGGAGCCTGGGGGTGCTGAGCCTGGGGGTACTAAGCCTCGGGGTAGCTGAGCCTGGGGGTGCTTAGCTAGAGCGTGCTGAGCCTGGAGGCACTTTGTCTGCTGGAGGTCCTACGGGTGTCTCGTCACGCCAAGAGCCTCTCTCTCCACCGCAGCTGCGCGAGTGATTTGCCCGGCGCTGGAGCCTCCGAAGTGGCGCTGCTGGAGCTAGGGGGCCTATTGCTAGAGGCCTTGGAGCAAGAGGTGCTGCAGGAGCTGGAGCTGCTGGAGGTGCTAGAGCCGCTGGTCCCGGAGGTGCTAGTACTGAAGGTACTGGAGCTGCTGGAGCTGGAGGTGCTACTAGAGCTAGAGCTGCTGGAGGTGCTGCAGCCGGTGGTCCCGGAGGTGCTCGTACTAGAGGTACTGGAGCTCCAGTAGCTGGAGGTGCTGCAGGAGCTGAAGCTGCTGGAGGTGCTGGAGCTACTGGTCCCAGAGGTGCTCATACTGGAGGTACTTGAGCTGCTGGAGCTGGAGATCCTGGAGCTGGTGGAGCTGGTAGTACTGCAGACGTTTGGGTTGGAGACCCTGGAGCTGGAGGTGCTGGCTTTGGGGGTGCTTGTGCGGTCCGTGCTAGTTGTGGAGGCGCTGTGCGGCCGCGACTGTACTTCATTCCGCTACATCAGCAGGTTCTTGGTCTCCCGCCTTCTACTGGCCTTACTCCTCCCTTACTGCGTCCACCGCCTGACCAGTCCTAGCCGCAGTTACAGCCAGCCTCCCCACTGACGGCTCCTTCTCCGTACAGTGAGCAGCTGGGAGGTCTTACAGAGCGTCGTGAGCCTGCGTCTCGTCCTACCTTACCTGTTCGCGCTGTCCGTAGTGGTCGTCGTGTTCCGCGTGAGCATCCTCCTCCTGTCCCCGACACCCACCAGATGGCACTTCGTCCTTCCTTTGTTCCACTGCGTGTCCCTTTGCCGTCTCCTCCTGTGTCCTCCCTTGCTGACGGTCCGGACCCGGATTCTGACTTACTTCGTGCTGCCAGCCCTACTGTCACGCATCTGCAAGCCACTGTTGTCAGTGACCCTTCGTTTGAGTCCACTGCAGCATCTGCCCTTGTTGCTGAGCTTGTTGACTTTGCTGCTGCCTGTCGTTTCGACTACGCCGCTAGTCTTCTTGCTGAGTCAGAGTATATCTGTCCTCTGTACGTCGGGGGTGAGTGAGCTCTTGGCACGGGCGTCCTTGAGGACAGGCAGGAGGACTTTGAGTGTTTTGCAGCTGCTGTATCTCACCTCTTGTCCATGCTGATTGCACCTAAGGGAGACCCAGATGCACCAGACATCCCGACCCCGCGCTCTTACGCAGAGGCGATTGAGGGTCCCTACTCCTCTCCATGGCAGTCAGCCATGGACGCAGAGATGGCATCCTAGGAAGTCCACAGGCACTTACGTCGACGACGTTCCCCCACCTGGGGCGAACATCGTCAGTGGCATGTGGATTTTCCAGGTGAAGCAGCTGCCGGGTTCTCCGCCTGTCTTCAAGGCGCGTCATGTTGCACGAGGCTTCAGTCAGCGACAAAGAGTTTGACTTTTTCCAGACCTTCTCCCCTACCCCGAAGATGACCACTCTTTGGGTTCTGCTGCACGTTGCCACTCGGCGTGACTACGAGCTTCATTGGGTCGTTTCCTGTAGATACCCAGAGGAGCCTCCGGCGGCCAGACTACGGTCTTTGCCAGGCGCCTCGCGAGTGGCACGACACACTGAGGACGACGGTTGCGGCTCTTGGGTTTGCTCCCTTAACGGCTGACCCGTCGCTGTTTCTGCGCACCGGCACTTCGCTGCCGCCGTTCTACATCCTCGTGTATGTTGACGACTTGGTCTTTGCCACTGCTGACACTAAGGGACTGCACCACGTGAAGTCGGAGCTGCAGAAGAGACACACGTGCGCAGACCTGGGAGTGCTGTGCAGCTATCTTGGCTTGCAGATTACCCAGGACAGAGCACGGCGCACCATTACCCTGACTCAGTCACACATCGTGCAGCAGGTCCTTCGGCGCTTCCACTTCACGTACTCCTCACCACAGTCCACTTCTCCGCCTAACGATCACTCGCTCTCAACTCTGCCTTCGGACGAGTCCGTAGAGCTGAGTGGCCCATATCCAGAGCTTGTGGGCTGCCTCATGTACCTAATGACCTGCACTCGACCTGACCTTGCTTGCCCTCTTAGCATTCTGGCACGCTACGTTGCACCCGGGAGACACCGACCAGAGCATTGGGAGGCCGCTAAGAGGGTGTTGCGCTACTTGTGTAGTACATCGGGCATATGTCTCGTGCTTGGAGGAACGGGCTCGAGTTGTCCTCACTGGACACGTAGACGCTTCTTGGGGTGACGACTTGGCTACGCAGCAGTCGTTACAGGGTTACACCTTCATCCTTGGCTCAAGCTTTGTTTCTTGGCGGTCTACCCGCTCATCTTCTGTTCTCAGTTTTAGTTGTGAGGCTGAGATCTACGCAAGGGCCATGGCTGCACAGGAGTTATGCTGGCTCACCTACCTGCTGAGCAACTTGGGCGAGCCGCCTTGTTCTCCTCCAGTTCTGTACGTCGACAACAAGGCCATGATTGTCTTGTGTCAGGAGCACAGACTGGAGCACAGGACGAAGCACATCGCTCTGCGTTACTTCCTTGCTTGAGAGTTGCAGCAACGTGGACAGCTTCGTCTTGCTTATGTGGCCTCTAGGGCCAACACTGCTGATATCTTCACGAAGGCACTTCAGCCTTGTGATCATCAGCGTTTCTGTATTGTTCTCGGCCTTGTGCCTATTTGGTCTCACTTGCTCATTTCTTGACTTTGCTTGTACTGTGATCTATATGCTTATACTAGCATGCTTACACTTGCTAGGTTTTGATCACTGTATTGCTTGTTTTGATGTATATAACTCTGCATGTGAACTGGCCTTGTGGCCATTCGCTTGTGCTCAGAGTGTGTGGCCTTGATATGCATGGCGTACGGCCGCCGAACTGGGAGTATGGCTAGAACGGTAACGGTGGCGTGGACATCTAGAAGCAAACTATGCGGAAGCATGGTTTGTCCCGGAAGCACCAAGACGCCATCGACAGGAAAGAGTGCGCCGAAGGTGGGAGGATCGCATAGCGCGGTATTGCCGAGTATGAGGATGAGACGGTAGAGGTGATGCGGTTGAAAGAACTGCTATTAGTTGTTTTATCCATCTGCAAGTCCGATGCGCCCATCGCTCTGTTTGTTGGTATTGTGCACTTGTTTCAACTGTTCAAGACGCTGCATATTCTGGACAAAGCGATTGGGACTTACCAGTCGGAGTAAGTCGTGTCTGATGTTTGAGTTCCCACGTTTATTATATTCCTTTTACTAATAATCTTGCTGCATGTGGCAGATATGGGTTTAGGGAGATGACGGAGGCGTTGACAAAGCACCTGAAGCTCGGCAGATCAAGGACTCGTCTTTCGTGGAAATTCAGCTGGATGAGTCGATGGATAGGAGGTAGGGCAAGCATCTCATCGGCTACCTCAACTTCCTCAGGGATGCGAAGGTGGTC